GACATTTCCTGGTCCTGGTCATTTCCTGGTCCTGGTCATTTCCTGGTCCTGGTCATTTCCTGGTCCTGGGTCATTTCCTGGTCCTGAGTCATCTTTTCTCATCAAATTTTCATGCTCATGATCTAATATGTGACGGAATAAGTGTTTTGCAGGCATAAATTCAATGTCATAATTATTATCACATAAAAGGCAACGTCCTTTAAAATCATCATCATCATTTTGGATTCTTGTCACATATTTGCAAAACCATTCGAAGTAATGAATATTGTTATTATCATCTCCCATATGACGATGATCAAGCCAGGGTTCACGCACAGAACGCAAGTTACACGTAAAATCACATATAACACATTGAATTTTTTCTTGCCGTATAACTTTCCTCCAATTTTTCCTATATGGATTTTGGTGATAAAATTCACGTCCGTTTATTTCGCAATAATAAAAATGTGGTTCTGTTCTATATATATGTTCATTAATTCTTGATGTGTCGATGCTACTAAAAATATGAAGACAGTTTTTACATTTTGCTCGAAATCTCGTCATTAATTCATATTTCCTTCTCACCCAATTTATAGCTATTTCGCGATATTCCACGTCCCTTAACTTCCAATCGCGTAAGTCACATGCTTTTAAGAACAGCTCCAATCCTCTTAAATGTACGACATTTAATGTCGCTAAACTTTCATTAAATGGTAGTTCTTGCCAACATATTTCTGGATGCAACATTTTAAAATGCAAGAATATGATTTTATCAAACGCTGTAATTTGATGGCGTTGTTCGTTGCGTTTGCAAAGAATACAATACGCAGAAAACAAACAATCCTTTTTAAAATATTTGAACACCCAGTTATAACTGATGTCGGTTACAATTTGTCCTTCTTCTGCGGAATGCGGGTGATCGGAGGTATCATCGTTGACGGAAACAAGTTTCTCACATACAACACATTGTAAATCGTTTAAATCGCCAGTGTGTCTAAAATTTTTCCAACGATTATCTTCCTGCGCCTTTTCAAATTGATAAGTGGTTTTATGTTCGTCTTCTATATGCTCCTGAAGAACTTCTGTGTCGACGAAATAAAAAATTCCATCACACTTACGACAAATTGCTTCAAAATTCGACAGTGTGTAATTTTCTTGCACCCAATTCCAAACAGTTGGAAGCTCAGGTTGGTCGACTACGTCCATTGCACGAGACCTATTGCGTGTGACTGAACGCGATACTGTTTTGTCGAATGACGATTGATAGAAGAGGTCAAAGGAAGAAAACTATAGCAGCGAGAAGCCTGAGAGGAACTGTGAGGGTACCTTTTCATGCTGACGCTCGACGCTCAATTTTAGCGTCAAAAGACATCATGTGATCAAAAATCGCTGCAATGATTCGTTATTTTTAGTCACGTGATGTCTTCTAACGCCGAAATTGAGCGTCGAGCGTCAGCATGAAAAGGTACCTTCAGAGGCCACGTTTTTCGTACGACGCTTTCTCTAGGCCGTACAGTAGCGCTAACTGGATCCATTTTTTGAGCCGGCGGAACTACATGGCCAGATTCACTTTTCGCTATGGTAAAACGGCTGATTGGCGCATGTCCGTGCGAGATCTATTATTGTGGATCTAGCACTCGATGCGCAGGGGAATTTATATGTAATATTGTGGCCGTCGTATTGTGAAGACGTTCAATTTGAATTTCATATGAAATCATGATGTTTTCAATCTCGATACCTTCAATTTTGAGCTTTATTAATTTATATAGTTAAACACTCGTAACATAATGAAACAAATATTCTTCGGATCAGCTAAAACATGCGTTAATACTTAACGTATCGCGTGCAAACATAATTTTCTCATTTCATTATTAATATTGGATATATGTACAGAGAAAAATAAAAAAGTAAAAAATAGAAATTTCTAGTTTTGGTAAAACATAAAGTAGTAATAATCCCGAATTGAGATGTTCCTTGTCAAGTAGATTCACACTGCACTGTATCTAATTCTTTCAAGTTTAACTATTTATGCCATTCTTTATGTATCATTTTAACTCACTGTATTTTATCGAAATAATAAAAAAATAATTAAAAACGAAAAGAAAAAAAAAATACATAGTTGTTTTTTAAACTATGTATGCGTTTTATTGATTTTGTACATTTAATTATCCACTTGAATTTACTACGCCTACTTATACAACACGCTGTACTGCGCACTCTTATGTCTCGTAAAGATCAAATTTATTTCGTACAATTAGTTTTGACTCTTTTGCTGCAAAATTAAATACAAACAAATTCATTGCGGAGTAAATTATATTCACACAATTACATGATAATGATCCGAAACGAGAAAAAATGGTGAATATTAATTTGTTTGAATTATATATCTTTAAGGCAATATCTGTGTATTTTTTCACATGCGTTTAAAATAAAAAAATTAAGAAAGACAAAGAACAATCTAATCACTCTTGTCAAATGCATTTGGTCCTTACGATTTTTTTATTTTATGCCAAAGATTCAGTCTTGAAGAAACGTTTTGAATGAATAATCAGAAGCTTAAAAATTTACGAGATGATTTTTACAGAACAAACTCTTACACTGTAAAATCGTCTCGCCGCTACTTTGGTCGTGGTAGTAAATATAATTACGTACCGATTAATACGTTCGTTATTGTTAAATACCTAACAATCATATAAAATTCTAAATACGATAAAGTAATTATAACTTTAAGCTTATGAGCTAGTCTATGTACAAAATTAACATGCGTGACAATAACGCGAACTTTTCCGCGCGCACTCGGCATTGCCTTTTCTCTTGCCCGCGTCGGAAAAGCTCGACGGTATCATCGTTTCTTAGCAACAAATCGGAGTATGTGTCGCGGTATGACAATATTTAAAAACTCATGTATATTATATAATACCCGCGTAGATAGGCGAATCAAAAATATTCTATTAAAAAGGAATACATGTAAAATAACCCAGAAAAAGGTAAAACATTTAACAGAAGTAAAAAAAAAGAAAAGTATTAGAAGGAACAAAAAATTGGGGAGAATAAAATTAAGAAAAAGATTAATGAAACTGAAATAAAGAAAAGTTATTGTAAGATTAATTAAAACTAAAAGGAAAAAAGCAAAATTTAGTTACATTCAAAATATAAAATATATCCAAGACCACAGACAAAGAAAAATAGAGAATAGCACGCAAGAGAATAAAAACATTGGAAATAGTAAAAAAAATAGATATTAAGGATAAAAATTTCATTAATTAACCAATTTACAATTAAAATATAATGAAAAAATAAAAGGTAAAATAATGCAGTTTTATAGTAAACTTCTGGAAATTTTAAGAATTAAGAGTTTGAATCTGCAGAAAAATTTCTCATGAGTGTTCTTTAATTCGCCCATCATTTGAAAGTGTAAAAACATTATGCAATATTATCGGAGATCTTGTATTTGTTTTCCGCACGCCTTTCTGGAATGCCGTCTATCTTCGATATTACATGCATCGCGCCTTATAAATAATATCTTTTTAAGTAAATAAAACAAGAAAAAGAGAACAATGGTATGAAAGAAAGAGAGAAAGAAATAAGAGAAAAAGAGAGAGAGAAAGATTAGGCACTAAAATGGACGGGTTTGTTTGTTCGGAATTGCCTCCTTCGAGTATTGCTTGACGTCTTAAGGACACTTCTGAGAACTTTAAGTACACTTTGTTACAATCTACATGATCTACTTTATACGCGTGTTATTTATGTATATATATGCTATCCGTCCCAGAGAGATGTAGATCGTCCTCCTCTTCGTTATTACTCTATGAAACTTTTATTCAAATATCATTGAATCCTCGAATTGTTTCTCCCCCGAATCTGTCGATTTCAAAATTTTGATATTTAAAGTCTTCAATCTTTCAGCTTTCAAAATTTATCTTCCCTAAAGATTCCTTCCTAAATTCACGAATTCTCAAGATATCATCATTGGTCCCTCGAATTCTTCATTCAAGATATTAAATTTCCCCTTTTCACAACGTCAGTTACTCAGGAAATATCTTTCTGTAACGTATCTTTTGCCAAGATACTGTGTACATCATTCACTCTCGAAACAACATGTTGACTTTATTTCGTTCAAACATGACGCCTAGCGTCCGTTATCAAATCTTAATTGTCATTCATCGGCAAATGTCATGCCATCGAGAAATGTACCGTTGCCAAAAAAAAGTTGTATTATTCAATTCAGTGCTAATCTTAAAATTTTTTCTTATACAATAATCTTGCAGGCAATTGACGAATTAAAAGGATTTTACAAAAATTTTCGATTACATCTCTCTTAGAAGAGTTGGAAATTTAATTCGTTTAAAGTAAACTCCTTCTAATTCATCTATTCTTTCGTAACGGCAAAACAGCGAGGACTAGAAGACGCAAAATGAATAATCGCTTCATTGTCGTCGACTTGGCTCTTCATTAAACAAACTGCAGTTTTTCAGTCGACATACTTTGCAATGACGATTCGAGTTTCGGGACTTCCAAGTTGTGCAAATTTCTCTCGATATATGGAAACATTTCATTTTTGCAACGACAAACCAAATCCATCTAAATTAGATCAAAATTAAAAATTAACTATTAATTAAGAATTAATGTCGATGTCACAATTCTTGATAAATAAATTATTAAGATGAATAAAAAAATGTGATAAAAAATAACAATAATTGATTCTAATTTATACAACGATAATAAATTTAATTTACTAGAGAAATGTAATTTGTCTAATTTTA